TGGCAGGGGAAGGCCTCTGGAGAAGGGGGACGGAAGCGCGGCCGGCCGCCCGCGGGGAGGCGGCGCGGTCGCGAGAGGTGCCCTTTTCAACCCTGTTCAAGAGAATAACTTTCTTCATTGAAAATTAGAGATGAGATGTTGAAGTTTCGGCGATTTTCCTATCATGGATGCTAGGATGAACTAACCGCATGAACAGTTGGCCACCTTGTGGGTCTGCAATGTACAGAGCAATGTGGTGTACTCCCTCCGTTCCTAAATGTAAGTCTTTGTAGAGATTCCACTATAAACCGCATACGGATGTATATAGATGCATTTTAAGATTAGATTCATTCAATTTGCTCCGTATGTAGTCCATCTAGTGGAATCTCTACAAAGACTTATATTTAGGAACGGAGGGAGTACTTTGCATTTTTTTTTCATTGAGAATGAACAATCTTTCCGGACAGTTTTCTTTTCATAACTGAGATCAATTCTCCATTGGCCCATGGAATACACTACACCAATATTATACCTGCTGTTGATGCTAGATGGTACTCTGGTTTTGAAAACAGGGAGTCTCCTTGTGGTGACCAGAAGAAACTACCCATACATGCAACTATTTTTTTCAAGGAGCTGCACACATATGGCACACTCCAGTTTCTCATTTTAGATCCATTTAGACAGAACTTTGTTACCCATTGTTATTACTACACAGGAACAATATGGTAGAATTGGCTGGTGTCATCGTGCTACGTGTTTACAAATATACATGAATAGAGTTGACAATCAGTATGGTAAAGCATTCGCTCCTAGCTTATATGTGCATAACTTTGATTGGTCGTCATTATCCTCACCATCTTCACCTACATGCTGCTCTGAGGCACTGAGTTGTGCTAGGGTGAAAGCACCGGAGTCGTAGCATGAGCCCTTGGTGGTAGCACGCTGCCACTTGTGGCAACTCAGCCATGACATTAGGTAAGGGACCTTCGTGTACCATCTTTCATGGTTGTTTAGATAGTCTCTAATGTTCCTTTCAATCTCAGTCACATCATTGCTGAGGTTCACCATGGTTTCCTTGGTTGCACAGTGGCCCTCGCTAGGGTGCCTGATACTGTTCCATAGTTCCCGTGGCCCCTCACCACACATGGGATGTTGCATCTCCACCATGATCGAGAATCCCTTCATGAGCCAGATGCGCATGCGCTCCGCGGCCACCTCATGATGGATGCCTAGCTTGTCGGGTGAGCGTTCGGAGAGTGGTCGCAGAATGAAGACATCCTTGTCAGCCAGCTGCTTGCTTGCATCGAAGCTTCTGTACTGGCCGCCGATGGTCAGAAGCTTCCTGTTGCCCTCCCCGACTCTTAGGTAGACTATGAAATTCTTCTGCTCTCCCGCGTACTCCCTCTGTAAACTAATATAAGAGCGTTTAGATTACTAAAATAGTGATCTAAACACTCTTATATTAGTTTACGGAGGGAGTACATGTTATCGATGTCTATGACCCCGGTTTGTTTCTCTGGTCCCACAAGGTTCTTGTAGCCACCAGACTCGATGGAAGATATTGTAATGCCCTCATGAGCTGCGAGGGTGATCTGTATGAACCTTGCAGCGACAGACGTGATGCCAGTGGTGAATAACTTGAAGGCTTCATGGATGCAGCTGTCATCTTCATCAAGGAAGGAGTATGTGCCACGGGTCTTGTCGGCGATATACTTCATGACCTCCGGATCGTGGTGTTTCTGCACACCAATTGTGTGCACAGGGAATTCAGAAGAGATCTCCGTCTTGAGGGCTACCATGCCATCACCGTTGGAGATGAACAGGATGCAACCTACACGGTTGTATGCCTCTTCCGCTCCACGCCCTCTCAGGATCTATGTCAATTTAATCAGCACAAAAAGTTATACTAAGTAAATTCCAAAAATGCAGGATTTGAAAATATTTTTTGGCCTTAATAAAAATTCGATGGCATGTTTCAATAGGAAAGCATGATGATATGTGTACCTCAACTCCCTCTCGCAGAGCGGCAATTGTATTGTTGCCATGGCTCCCATCAAGCTCATTGATCATGACCTTGGCAATTTCCTTGCCTTTGTTGGACGTGAAGGTTAACTTCACAGTGTGGGGCACACTGCCCTTGAACCACACAATAGAGAACCGGTCGTTTGGGCCGAGCTTGTCGATGACTGTCATTAGGGCTTGCTTGATGGTTTTCAGCTTCCAGGGACTCACCCTGCCCATGTTGATGTCAACAACCACAACAATGTCCACGCCAGCGCGTGGCATCTCCTCCGTGTGGCACCATGGTGCTGCTGTGATACGCACTAGGACTGGAAATTCGTTGCACGTCTTGCCACACAAAATCGCTTTACTCGTGAACGTTTGTAGCTTCACCTGAATTAGTATATGTTGTCTGATTCATTGATCGGTCATACCAAATCCAAATTAAGGATGTTCTGTAATACAAGCTTACCATGTCTCCTTGCGTCCATGATTGCGAACTCACCGACCATGACAAGGCCTGCAAGAGACAACTTTTATTTTATTTCAACAGTAAATACAAATAGTCGTGCCTTGGCTCGCATGTATGCATTGGTTCCTGGATGACCACTACTATCTCACGAGGTTTATCTTTTAAATTAGATTTTGGAGTTTGATCCTACCTGCTTGTTTGAATTGTTGTTGTTTTTCAAAAAAAATATAGGATATTTATCCATAGGTTCTTTATATAATAAAGACCCTCTGTATTGAAAGAATGAACTAAAATTTGATATTCTGATTTTGGATTTCTAGCTAGATGCTAGGCTCTTTCCGAAAGTAATCATGTCTATCACAACTATGGTACATATTCCACTAGCCTGGTAGAGTTTAGGCAGTATACTCCTATAAAGGTTCAACATGTCATGACATCTATTTGTTTCTTAATTACTTTATGCTTTAAGGAGGCCCTGATGAGCTTCACCGCCTGTGTGCAACACGTTTAAGGTGAACAGTTTATCAATTGCTTTCACATCGATCAAATTGTTTACGGAGTTGACTGAGACCATGGAACAGTGTTACATGCTACACAAATAGAGATTGCTACAGAATTTCCAATAGCAAACTTCTCGTCCTAGTTGGTTCAGAATAGTCTTATCTCTTGTAGGGTTATGCTTATCTCAAATGGTTCTTACTAATTTTTGCATCACAATTGTTTCTGTTTTCTTTCACAAAAACAGTTTATTATGACCTTTTCACAAAATTGGATAGAATACGCAACTCATCCTAGACAGTTTATTATGAGTCGGCTTGGTTTGGCTGCTATGTGGGTTACCGGGTGCTCCCTGTGCCACACTAATTAATTCTTTTGGAGCACTGCTGGTGATACCATGTACTCGTGGTTGCACCTCTCAAACTTTGTCAAGTTTTAGAGAAGTGAGTTGCAGAAGGTGCATCTACTATACATACATGGTTTTAAATCTTGATCCGTTAAGAATATCGATAATGAGAGAGAAAAGAGCTTGTCTGTATACAGTAATGAGCTAATGATTGTGAATTCACAATTACCCTGTCAATGGTAGCTTCTGTGTCATTTAGTCGATGGATAATATCTATTATATCAGGCCTTTTGTGCCTATCGTACTCCATGCAGCTCAGTGCTATCTCAGTACATATATTCACTTGATGGCAGTGTGCTTTTAATTGCTTGTGAGAAGAACACGTTGAACGCAACCTGCGTCTCCAGTTTGTTTGTACCTGTGTATGAAAGTGGAAAGCCATAATAGTGAGATACACATGTGTAAAGCATATCACGATTTGTTACAAATAACTATTGGTATTTTTTTAATCTTCTTCCCTATAAAGTGAAGATATGGTGTTTCTTACTTGGTCAAGAAACTCTTGGTGAGACATTTCAGCGCTTCTGGTGTGGCCGCTTGGCCCTGCAATTACCTTTGTCATTGCAACACCCAAGCTGAATATGTCAAACTTGTTCGAGATTGCATTTTCATGTATGTATTCTGGCGGCATGTACCCACTGTTGTTGAACATTTATAATTATTAGAGATACGATGAATATGAAAATATATCTAATTAGTAAGCATGCCTTGGCTAACTACGAAATGGATTCATTAGCAACATGAATTAACTTACATTGTTCCTGAAACACTTTCTGCGACCATCGTTTTATGTTCACGGAAGAGCCTAGACAAACCAAAATCCGCAAGTTTTGGGAACATGTTCTCATCTAGAAGTATGTTGTCCGGTTTTAGGTCCAAATGGTAAATTGGTTTTTTGAATCCTTCATGAAGGTATTGTAAGCCCTCACATGTCCCCTTGATAATTTTGTATCGTGTCTGCCAATCGAGGCCATCAGATTCCTCTGTAATGTGGAACAAAGATTACAAATTAAGTGAAAATACATGTCGACGATGTTTTTCTTCATATGCCTGTTGTAGCGTGCTGAGAATGTAGAACGTCATACCAGAGAGATGCTTCTGCAGGCTCCCTTTTTGCATATACTCGAAGCATAGCGCTTTGGTTATCTCTTCAGCAAAAATGGTTTCTTCCGTGCATATGATAGGTTTATGTTGTGTCTCATAGCAATAGCCAACTAACTGTACAATGTTCTGATGTTCGAGCCTCATTAGGTTATCAAACTCACGTCGGAATTGCCCATCGTCAATGTCTAGCCTGTTATGAAGCAACTTCACTGCAATCTCTTTGCCATCGCCAAGTGCACCCTATCCAAGGTGCAGAAAATTGAAGTTATTCATTAGGGCTTTTGAGATGCAGAAAATTTGAAGTGTTCAGTTTAGTTTTGTTAATTGTGTCATTTTAGTGCAAAGAAGAATTTTTTGGGGAAGTTAAACTTTCAAATTTGTAAGTAAGAAGGTATGTAATTTGAAGTAATACACTGTTTTTATAGTAATACACTATTTCAAATTTGTAAATAAGCAGGTATGTAATTTAAAGTAATACACTTTTTTTTAGAAAGGTCTAGCTTTACAAAGTAAGAAGAGCAGTATTATGATGTTTGTACAGCTAAGTCTTTGTCAGTTAGAAACCAGTTGTCCTGAATGGGTCTCTTACCCTGTAAACCTTTCCATACGCTCCTTCACCAATTGCTCGCTCCTTGCAGAAATTGTCTGTGATTTCTTGTAATTCTTGCATCGATAGACGTGTTGTCTTTTGTAGTTTGCAGCTTGTGGTAATGTCTCTGCTGGTACATATTAATACCCTTAGCTATGGATAAGGACATTAAAGAACATAGAGTTGACCAGTTTTTCTTGAACATATTAATGTTGGTTATGGGGGGTGTCTAGACATGGCATATATGTATACATACTACAATGGAAGTATATACATTCAAGCAGCGAGACGGGCAGTGAAAGTATAAGCATAGAAGGATGAAACAATAGCAGATTTATTAAATGGTGAGACTTTGGTAGACATTTGTCCCATCTCATAACAAATCATTTCAACATTTGTTCCATTGCAACCATTTAAGGGATTAGTCTTTCTGCATCTTGAGCTGTGGAATGAGTTTTGAGTTGAATTTCTTTACGATGGTAGATACATGCCACCGTGCCCATGTAATCAATATATCTTTTACAAATTTGTGACATTTTATTACACGAACTGATGACTGAATACACGGGGTGACTCAGTGAGATTGCTGCACTAACATCCAGAGAGCAACATGCTACAAACTAAAACCCTTACGCACATGAGCATGTTGCTACCACAGAATCTCATACTAGGTATTTATCGATGTCAGGGTACTAACCTGGAGCCTGAGCATGAGCTGGAGCTGGAGCCGGAGCCAGAGCCGGATCCGGAGCTGGAGCTGGAGCTGGAGGTGGAGGTCTTCAGGGTTTGTTTGTTTGGGCTCCCAGCAGCCGTTACTCCATGTAAGTCGCCTGGAGACGCCATGCCTGTTGATGGTACTGCTTGTCCTTCACAGGAAGGAGGGGTGGAGGGAGGGATAGGTAATGAAGAAGCTCACCCACCTGAATTACTAATACACTATGAACTGCAGTAGAAATGCGGATTGCCCATACGCGTTAACTAATCAATCAATCAATCTGATTAACTACTCGTAGCAAACGCGCTCGCGGGGGAGCAATATTCTCTTGACTTAGCAGGGGCAAAGTCAGTGGTCGTAGCTTATACGAAGTATATTGGAGTGACTTGGAATGGATAGTAGCAGTCAGATTTAGAATGCATCGTTCCGAGGTTTAAAGCTATAGTCTCAGTACTAATAGTGACAATAAAATAAGTACGTACTCCCTCCGTCCGAAAATAGTTGTCATCAAAATGGATAAAAAAATATGTATCTAGAACTAAAATACGTCTAGATACATCCCTTTTATCCATTTTGATGACAAGTATTTCCGGACGGAGGTAGTATTACTTTGCTGCGTGGTTTACGACATGACCAGCCTGGTCCTGGGAGTTGCTTCTTTCTTTGTCCAAGGTCTACTCTGCTTGGCTTTAGTGTGAAACAAAAAGTCATTGCTCTGACTTGCCTCCAGCATGCATACACACAGCTGCTTCGTCTGTATACGACAATTATTAGGGGAACCAGACTTGACTCAATCCGCAGGAGTACATACATGCGAGCATCGTGCTTTAGAGTTTAGATCCAGCACATGCATGGAGTATTTTGGTAGACTTGACCCTGCCAGCGTTGCGATTGGTCGTGTGGCTTGAGTTAGTTATCTACGAGTAGATAGACATGTGCACCTCCTTGCCAGCATCGTTGGTGCAAGTTATCCCTAAGTCAAAATTACCCCATGGCAAAGGCGCCACATATTTTTTGTTTGTTGCGGGATGGAATTTTACTCTCCATATCTTCTTCTGATTACCTCAGCTCATCGACCCTTTCCTTGCCATCAATTTGTAGCTAGCTAAGCTTCTTCAGAAAATTCCTCCCCGTCTTGATTAGCTCAACTCGCTAGTAGAAAAGAGGGCTTTGGTCCACCCCGGGTTAGCCCATTAGTCCCGGTTCAGTCTAGAACCGGGACTAATGGGGGCATTAGTCCCGGTTCGTGCGTCCAGGGGCCACGTGGGCCATTTGTCCCGGTTCGTCTGGACCTTTTAGTCCCGGTTGGTGCCACGAACCGGGACTAAAGGGTGCGATGCCCATTAGTCCTGGTTCGTGGCACCAACCGGGACTAAAGGGTTAGACCTTTAGTCCCGGTTCGTTCCACCAACCGCTACTAATGGAGTTTGAGGCATTAGTACCGGTTCATGGCACGAACTGGTACTAAAGGTCCCATTTTCAAACTCTATCCCCCCTGATCGCTTTTTCAGTTTTAAGAAAAAATAAAAGAAAATGATGAAAATGTCAAAAAAAATAAAAGAAAATAAGTTTCCCATGTGATATGTGCTCTAGTTGTTGGGAAAATTTGCAAATATGAATTTCGACTTCATTTGCAAAATCTCTCGAGAATTTGTAAAAATGGGCATAATTTTTGCATACTAACTCGGATGAAAAAGTTTTTTATATGAAAAATCATCTACTCGAAAAGTTACATCCAAATTTAACCGGGGGAACCCCGTTAAACATTTTAAAAATCCTCAAAAACCTAACAGAAAAAAGTTACGGGCCTTTTTAGATCTAGAGTGGAAAAAATCGAAAAAAATTCAAACTGTGGTCAAACAATGGTCAAACTAATTATTCTACAAAATTAGTGTTACTAAATAATTATTTCAGTTATTTTGAATTTTGGTCAAATCTGGTCAAACTGTGGTCAAACAATGGTCAAACTAATTATTCAAGAAATATTAGTGTTACTAAATAATTATTGTTTTTAAAACAATAGTTTCAAACTCAAACAGTGAAATGTGTCACTTCATGCTCAAGCAAAATTCCTGAAGGTTAATAGGATTTGCATCTTACTATTGTCAGGAAAACAACAAGTGCAGACTTAGAAACGAGGGAGAATAGAACCCGGAAGTTAAGCGTGCTCAGGCTGGGGAGTGGGAGGATGGGTGACCGTTCGAAAAGTTAGATGATTTGGAATGATGAAGGGTGATTAGAGATTAGAGGATAAATTGAGCAGTGATGAGGGGTGATGATTAGAGATTAGAGGTTAAAATAATTCAGAAATTTAAAAATAAAAAAAATTCAAAAAAAAATCGTAAGGCCTTACCAACCGGGACAAAAGCCCCTTTATCTACTAGTGACTACTACTGTTTCAGTTACTGGTAGTCGTGTTGCATAGCATCGTGCTAGTTTATATGATCAGTAGCTCTAGTACTTAGCTTAGTTGTGTCCTTCATCACTACTACTTGACTGAAACTACAGCCTAGTGTTTGTCCAGGACTTTATCGATCGATTAGGGCCAGCGATAATCACATCGTTCTAAACAACGAGAGAAGAGACGTGTTGCTCAATTGGTCTGTTAGATCAAGGAATCAAACGAATTGATCTTTACGTAGACAAGCAGACATCAAAAGAAATTAATCTTCAGCAGCGTGCATCGAATGGTGACTCGGGGGGCGACGTTGGGCTCGGTGGTTGGACGGCGGTCCACAAGGGTGGCCGCTCGCCAGGCTACCTCTCCTCCGGGCCGGGGGTGGAGGTGAACCTGGGGACTCGCTTTTGGGTGCTACGGAGGATGAGCTCAGCTCTTCCTGTCCGGCAGGGTAGCTAGGTAAGCCTGGGGGCTCATCGCTTCTGGGCACTGGCGGAGGATGAGATCACCGACAGCACCAAAGAGTAGGGCACGGCTTCCGCCTTGGTCAACCAGGGCAAGGGCCATCAAGGAGTTAATTGCAGGGAAGTACCACACTTGGGGCAGTTGTAACGGATCGGTATCACTATTCAGATTTTTTACAAATCAGTACCATGTTTGAGGCTGATCGTTGCAATACGGACTAAGCCGCGTATAACTCTGTACGGACGCTGTATCTGACAACCCGGCCCCACCAATCAGTTCACAAGCCGCCGAACCGGTGCGTTGCTCGGGTGGCTAGGACGGACCCGGCTCGGTCGGTCTTGGCTCGGTCTAACCCTAGCAGTTCTCTCCTCTCCCTCTCCCTCTCCCTCTCCTCGCGATGGCTAGTCCGGGCGGCGGCGGCGGCGGTCGCGGTGGCCGGAGCAGCGGTGGCGTTGTGGGCTGGTACGGAGACCTCCCCGGACTCGGGAGCAATGCGCACAGAGGAATCGAAATCGACGACGAGGAGTCCAGTTCGTCTGCTTACTACAGCGACGATGAGGAGGGCATGGAGGCGCCGCTGTCCATGGAGCAGCGGATGCGGCTGGCTGAGATCTGGGTGGCCAACCCTACCACGTGCCATCACTGGAGCCATGGATTGGGTGGCCTACTGTAAGTGCTCTGTCCTCTCCCTCTCTACTCTCTCATTTGTGCCATGATTCGGGCTAGGGTTAGGTTTACTGAAATGTTGCTGTCCATTGTAGTTTGGATGATGCTATTTAGGATGTTAGGATTCACTTTGATGCTCAACATAATTTGGATAGGAAGATATGCAACTCAGATGTCACATATTTGAATTTGTATGCACTGATGCGAATACAAGGATTTAACTTCAGTGATGAATTGTACCACATGGGGAATACAGGCATAGGAGTGCAGAGAGAGCATGCCCTAGATTTGATAGACACAAACACCAAGTTGCAGCAAATTAAGAAGCAGAATGAGGACAGTTTAGTTCTGAACTTGTTAGTCAGGGCCATAACATTTGTCAGTACTGCATCTCATGTTAGTGAGAAAAAAATTAGCCACAGTTTATATGAAGAACCTGTTGTGTATGATCTGAGAGATCCTCATGTGCTTGCTGTTAATGATCATGGTGTTGTTTATGAGAGTCAAAGCAGCAACAGTAGTGCACTAGTACAACCTGCTAGTATGTGCACACAAGAGAGCAGAAATGTCAGCAAGAGGAAGCCAAATCTGTGATGGAAGAAGAGGAAGAGGAGGGATATAAGAGTAATGATGACTCTCAAGGGGCATATGACAGTGACAACAACCCTTTCTGCATGAAGAAGTACATGATTGCTGAAGACACAGAGACAATAGAGGGAAAGAGGCTAGCAGATGCAGAACTAGAAGAGGATGCAGATTCAGATGAAGAAACAGATGAAGATTCAGATAAGGAACATCTACACTATGAGGGTGACACTGAGGTTGAGTAGTTGTTTGATATTGAGGAGGATGAGGAGGAAGATTCTGAGAAGGAGAAGGAACCACCCATGAAAGCAGCTGGTAAAAAGAGGCAAAAGCTGCCAGTTAGGAGAGGGCCCACCACTACAAAAAAAATACACTTCCGTGATGATACGTGTTTGTCACAATTGGTCGCGTTTTCTGTCATGCATGTACATCCATGACGATTTTATGACAGAATCAAGATAGTCATACCTGTGCTGTCGTAGAAGTGTTCCATGACATTACCAAAATTATCATCACGGAAGTGTCGACTTCCATGACGATAAATCGCCCGTCACAGAAGTGCTTTCGTCAAGGGTGACCGACACGTGGCATCCATCGTAACGGAACACCGTTAAGTTATCGGGTCGGGTTTTGGATCCGATAACCCGTTAACAGCCCGGACCAATGGCGATTTTCCACGTGTAAAATCATCATTGGCTGGAGGAAACACGTGTCGGCTCATCGTTGGGGCCGATGTTATCCACTCATTGGACAGAGGGCGCCTATGATACGTCAACACGTGGCACGGCCCAACAGAGGCCCATTTCTGTGAAAAGGCCGGCCCGTTTGACTTGGTCAAAAGGTGGCGGGCCGGCCCATGGAAAGCCTGTTAACGGCCTGTTCGCATATAGCCCATTTACAGCCCGCTAACCCAAGGCCCGCTATGTCCTATCGAATTAGGACCAATAGCATCATTTGAGCCATCCAATATGATTCCATCCTGTTTTCACTTCTGGCCCATGTATGGCCCATGAC